AATAAACTGTTTATATCAACCAGATTATGTAAAAATCAAAAAATTCTGCATGCTTCAGCACAACACTGAACCCTTTAGTTTGTCAGCTGAGACCAACAGTCACAGGAAAAAATACCAAGTATTGTTTGGTTGAACTGCAGGCTGTGATTATACAGACAGTGTGAATGAAAAATGTAAAAAATGTATAGTGTGTAGCGGTCCCTTTTTTTTTTGTTCCAGTATTGGTAACCCCTGTGGATGCTTAGGAAAAATGTTTTTATTTTGATCAAGTAAATAATCAGATCAAATTATTCTTTCAATGTATTACTATTATTTCTAATTATGCCAGTATACCTTTGTTATAGTGCACAAAATACATTTTTAAGTTCTCTCTACTTCTAGCCATGGCTGTGCTGTCCATGGAGGTGCAGAACTTTCTACTGCATTGAAAAATGAGTCACAGTGAGTGAAAAATGTAACAGGAGCAAAAAAAAAAAACCTCCAGAAAGTGCCTGGGATTAGGATGGCTAAGGAGTAACTAGCCAAATTGTGTTTATATATGTCGTTTCTTTCTCTCTTTCTTTCAGTTTCATGTTGGTACCTTTGTAAACCAGAGAAAGTCCTGCATGAGTGAGCTGGAATAGGAATCTTCAATCTCCACAATAGGAATCTGGTCTTCTGGCGTCACCAACACGTTGTCATCCCTGTAGAATATGGATGTCAGGTAGAGACCTCTGGAAAGTAACACAGAGAAAGTATGTGTTACAGTAGACACACAACAGATATAGTTACTACACCACAGAATGGTTACATCAAAGTAAATACAATGAATTAAACTTAAAGCTTCATGTTGGCAACAAAGTCATGACACAGTCACAATGCAAAAGCAGAATCCAGAAATTTATATAAACATAAATTAACAAATCACAGACTTAATTAGTTATGCACATAGTAACTCTACTAAAAAATGAAAGTCTGATATTTTTACATTGTATGAATAAATGTTCATCTACCTTTTCAAGCTTTTAACAAATTTGCTGGTGGGCTGGAAGAGGTGTCGCAGGCTTTTGGATACCGAGTGCTTCCTGCCTTGTGTTGGAGCTTTGCACTGTTCTGTGTGAAAAACAGAAAAAAAGAGAAATAATTCTATTAATTCAATAGAAACAGATTGACTGAGATTACTTAAATAAACATTATGATACGCTTGATGCTTGAAATTAAGGTGCTTAAAATCATTATTAGCTTACTAGACACCGTGCTGTGACTCTGATTGAGTGTCCAATTTTCTCGCTAAACAAATGAATATTTCTGTCCTGACCAACTCTAGAAATATCTCCCCCAGTGACAGGCTGTTACCTAACTGACAACAAGCCTGACACGTCCAACAACATGGTCGGACTGGAATGTTTTTTGACATTTCATGCTCTCCAGTGGTGCGGCACCATTTGACAGTCATGCTGGCTGCCAACAGCAGACTATGGGCCTAGAGGGAACCACTAGCTCTGAGGTCCCAGAGGAGCACTAACTGTGTGTAGATGTATGTGTGTGTGTGTTTACCTGCGCATGCTATAGCTGCTGGAGCATGGCATGCCTTGAGCTACAGCCATATGCATGGAGCCAAGGAGCTGTAGTAATTTGTGTGTGTATGTCTGTATGTGTCTTAACCCTTTGCCACTCACTGACAGGGAGGTCAGTTAAGTCTGTGGGGACATGTTTATTTTTAGTGGGCCAGGAGGGGGTTGGAGGCAAGAGAGGGAGGTGTGTGTGCATATATGCATGTGTGTGTGTTTGTGTGGGTGCTTGTTGGTGAGATAACGCACCTCCCAACTCATTAGAAACCCCGCGTCCAAAAAACCCCTTGCAGATTCCCTCCCCCTCCCAGGTGATCTTACTCCAGCCCCAGGCCACTTAAAGTCAATAAATCCCCCCATTCAGGGCCCGAAAAAAACTAATTTTCTCTTCAGGTGGACGAGTCGAGGTGGAGTAACAAGAAAAAACAGCACCCGTCGACCCCTCTCACCTCCCCAAATTTCTCTCCACTCGCGACTCTGTTCAGCTCCAGTCCTCCTGGCCTCAGTCCCTGTTTGACACTGAGTAAGACAGACAAGTAGGGCCGACTGCTGGGGTGCCTGTGTTAGTCAAGGCCTCTTTCACAGTTTAATTAATAGTGTTTGGACAAGAGGGAGAAGGTGGTGTGGGCTATAAGCCGGGCTGCGATGGGGGGTGCGTACATGGACATGGAGGAGAGAGTTGAAAGAGGGAGCATGTACTTGAATATTTGTGTCTGTTCATGTACATGTGTATCTGTGTGTGAGCCTGTCTATCTTTACATGCGTGTGTGTATATGTGTGGACAGTAGACAGGACGACTGGCGGGCTGCGGGGGGTGAGGGGGGGGAGGCAGCAGTAGTCAGTGTTAATTTATGCCCTCTCCAGACTCCAGCCCTGGACTTGTCTCTTACAGGAATAACAAACATGACCCCGGGACACGCCACCTTGACTACCGTGCCTGAACTCTCAAGCTCAATCAGTCGCCGTCTGAAGAACCACGAGCCACTCAATACTGACTATTATATTGCATCTCGCCTTATTGCAAATATGGTCTGGCCACAGTGGACAATAGTAAGTGGGGTGAGTGTGTTTGGGTAGGTGGGTGTGAGAGAAAAAGAGAGACAACTTGCTCAATGCTAAATGCAGTTTGCCATCATGTAAAAGAGTCAGTGTGGACAGGTTTTGACACTTATGGGACCAGCTTACAGCCAGCAGTGTTTGGGGATATAAACAGCTTGAGTGTGAGAGAAGTTGATCTGCATTTTGTCACAGAGAGAGAGGTATTCAGCCGAGGAAGGGCTGAGTCATGGAAAGACTCACAAGGGGGTGGGGGGGTTGTTGAGACAGAGGGGAGGGTATTATTTTTGAGGTGGCATGCCATCTTAGTGTGTACGGCCCCTGAAGTACTTGTCGTGCCTGAGATTGTAAAGTGTCTGTCAAGGTGAGATGAAACACAGCAATTGGTGAGACGTGTTACACCTGTGAAGTGAACCGCCCGATGCTGCGTTTGTTTACAACGAGGACATTTCTGAAACATGAACTCGACGGTGGCTAAAAATGCGGCTCTGTTTGTTTAAAATGTGACGGGTGTAGTGAAAATGACAGACGCTCGGGCTAACGTCAGAGGCTCACACTACTGCACTTTACCTCAACTGATACTAGTCCTAAAAACCGATCTTAGGATCAAATGTATTTGTAGTCATCAAGATGTTATTTTAAACGCCGGCTTAAAACACCTCGTAACACGTGCTCACATGTAATTCAATGAGTACAGCAAGTCACTATCACTACCAGGTTTTGGGGTTTGAATTTCACTTGGGGTCAACCGTGCAAATAGTTAAAGCTCTCATATTACTGCTCAGTCTTTTAGGCGAACACGGCCATCAGATCGATCAAAAAGTTGTTGATACCATGGCAGACGCAGTGGCGGTGAGCTTCTTTTATCTGCCCCAGTAGCTGGTCTAGTGCTTCCTTCTGGCCTCTTTGACGTGGAGCGCGGCCATCGATATCCCGCCAACCTGCAGCCAGATGTGAAGAAAGAAAACAGTTAAGTTCTGCATTTGTCAAGACTCACACTGATAACATATCATTGCTGCACTGGTCTCTTCAGCTGAACTGCACACAATTTTTTTAAAAAGATTTTTTTGGGGGGCTTTTCCACCTTTAATGATAGTGACAGTGAAGACAGACAGAAACGTGGGTAGAACAGTGGGGGAATGACATGCAGCAAATGAGCCGCTGGCTGGAATCGAACCACGGCCGCTGTGTCGGGGATTAAAGCCCATATACACAGGTCGCCCGCCCTACCCGCTGAGCTATCCGGGCGCCTTGAACTCTATATTATTAATGGAGAATCTAAGGTGACGAAAAGAAGGTTGATCCAGCACAATGGCCCAGGCTGAAATATTTCAGCAGCTACTGGATGGATTGTTAGAAAAATTTGTTCAGACATTTATGGTCACAGAAGAATGTACCCCTCTGACTTTCGCAATCCTCTAACTTTTCCTCTAGAATCACCCTGAGGTTGATATTTTGTTTCATGTCTTTGTAAAAAGTCGTGGATGTACGGTCATGAAATTTGGTACAGACATTCATGTTCCCCTCTTGATGATTTATTGTAACTCTGTTTATCTGTTAATGCTTCATGTAATGCCAATATGAGGTTAAAAATACCAACACCTCCAAGTCTAAGTCCATGGCTCTCCCCTGGAAACCAGTGGATTGCTTCCTCTGGGTTGCGGGTGGGTTAGAAGTATTTAGAAGTATTTTGTGATTTTGTTTTTGAGTGATGAGTAAATGGTGCATGAGGTGAACAGGCAGACTGGTTCAGTGTCTCAGCAGTAATGTGGCATTGTACCAGGCTGTTGTGGTGAAGAGGGAGCTGAGTCAGAGGGCAAAGCTGTCATTCTACCCGTTGATCTGCGTTCAAACCCTACCTATGGTCATTAGCTCTGGGTAGTGACCGCAAAAATTAGGTCACGGATATAAACGGCTGAAATAAGTTTCCTTGGTAGGTTGGCTATGCTCAGTCTTACACATGGGGTGAGGAGCCTGGACTTCCGGAGGGAGTCTGGAGTAAAGATGCTGCTCCTTTGCGTCCCAAAAAGCCAGCTGGAGTGATTCAAGCATTTGATTAGGATGCCTCCTGGGCTCCTTCCTAGAGGTTTTCTGTGTACATCCAAATGGGAGGAGACACTGAGGTAGAACCAGAACTTACTGGAGGGATTACACATCTCATCTGGCCTGGGAATGCCTTGGAGCTCTCAGGATATACTGAAAAACCTTGCTGGAGAAAGAGATGTCTGGGATGCTTAGCCTGCTGCCACTGGGCCTCAAGCACGGATAGGCAGAAGAAAGTGGGCGGATTACAAATTTAAATTCTGGTCTTGCAAGCTTGTTGCTGATGTTAGAATATAGTTAGCTCAAAGCACCACTGTGCCTAATTAAAATCTAACAGAGCTGCATACACTGCTACAGGCTCGTACTTCAGAGTTACTCTCAGAGTTTCATTTTGACTAAAGCACGTTCCAGTTGCCAGATCTTGTTCAGACACTTTTCACTTGGGTTTGCAAAGATGAGATGACATACATTCCTACCTACTGTAGTTGGCCTTGCAAAACTGGTTTATCAAATATTAAACATAATCTTATAGTATTTACCACAAAATTTTCAATATTGTTCAGACGCAGTGTGAACACAAATGGAACAGAGACTTTGTTCTATATAGTTTCTTCTGTGGAGCCACGTTTTCAGAGCAACAGGGTGCATTTGACTATAGATCAGCCAAGAAGTTGATTCTTTTACAATGAATAAGTACACACCAGCTAACACTAAAGACTCAGTTATTTTCTTGCTTTTGGTGTTCAAAGCTTCTAAGACTTGTAACACAAACAGGTTGTTACTGAGAGACAGAGACTAAGCTCACAGTAGACTGTATGAATACATCAACATAACTGGGTTTAACTGTAATTAATGAAACTTTCATCTGTGAAGAATGATCTTTTGCAAGATTTAAAAAAAAAAAAAAAGCCTGACTTGTGTTTGAACTTTTGTGAACAACTTCTGTATTTGATGCTTACTTCAGAATCAAACAACCCAGCATCAGATTCCCAGAGACTAAATTCTAGGTTAAGGATTCCCTTACTGTTCTATATTTTAATTGTAATAAAAATAGTTAACAGATGGGCAGCAAATTAAAAGAAAAATGAACTTAAAGTGTCTTAGTAAGGTGTTGGGCCGCCACATGTCGTCATATAAAATTGAATGCACCTTTTTATTGATTCTGAAAGTCTCTGGACTCTGCAGGAGGAGTGGGACGCCATTCCTCCACAAGATATTCCCTCACTTGGTGTTTTGAAGATGGCGGTAGAGACAACTCAGCCTAAAATGTCTGGTAGTTTATTAAATTCAGTTCAATTCAGCCAATTGAAAACATAAGGTATCTCAATGCACTTTGCAGAGTAAGGTGAAGGCCGTATAATATTTTACAGAGAGAAACCCAAGAAATCAGAGGAATTCCCATAAGTGATTATTCAGAACAACTTTGTATTGATTTGCTGTGACCCTTCCTTCTAAGGTGACAAATCATGCCAGCATAATTCTTCTCACAGGATAACAGGGACATCAGATCTCCAGACTGTGGGGCTCAAGGGCTGAGATTTTAACTTTAATTTGTCACCTTTCTGTAGATCATACGGGGCTGATGTGATATTATTGCGAAGGTTTAGGTAAGGCCAGTCTGGTAAGGTCATATTCAGTTTGGAACCCCAAAATATCTCATATCGACCCTTTTATTGAGATGTCCAGTCGATGGAGTGTCAGGTACTTTAAAAACTGGTCTAGTATGCGCACTATAGGGAACATCACACACCCTAATGTGAGAGAGCTGGTGCCGTCTGACAGACAAACCCACTGAGGACCACCATCCTACGGCCAGTGGTGAGAATGTGTGTATGTGCATGTGTGTGTGTATATGTAGCCATATGTGTATGTGTATACATGGAGGGTGGGAGAGACGGGTTTTCTTGTTTTTGTTTTTTTTTTTTGACAATGTTTTAAAGTCTGTAAAGCACTTTGTGTTGCTCTATTGTATGAGAAGTGCTATATAAATAAAGTTTGATTTGATTTGATTAACCACAGCTACAGGCTGGTGTGCACATATCTGGGCTCAGAACTGACACAAACACACATATATGTGCACAGAGAACCAACTACAGTGTGACAGAAACTAGAGAACGTTAACTCAACACATCAAAAACGGCTCTGAAAGTACAGTTATTGTCTTACAACCTCCATCTCTCTCTCTCATTTTATTTGTGTTTTTCTTTGTTTGTTACTGTGTTCCTCTTTCCCAATCATGCTCCATCATAAAAACACTGAAACCTACCGACTTTGTATTATAAACAATCACAAATATAAACTTTGCCGTCCCTGCACATAGATGACCGGCGCTGCAGAAAACGATCCTTCAGCACCTTCTGCCTTCTGTGTTAGTACCGGAGGATGTGTCAGCGATAACCCACCCCCTCCGACCACCATCACCCCCACCCCCACTCCCTCTCCTGGAGCCCCCCGGAGGGCGCGTGGGGCTGAAACACGGTGAGCTCTATTCCCGGAAAGGTGCCTGTCCCGACAAGACAAGCGGGCCCTTTAATGGGCGTCCACGGCCCGGTATAAGGCCCCCACTGTTGGGGCCGCGCCGCGCGCTACAGCACAGACATGCAAATATTTCCAGTGGTAGGCCCAAATGGAAAACACAAACACGCAACATCGAAATTAGCTCGGCGAGAGGGAGGGAGGGAGGTGGGACAGTAGAAAAAAAAGAGAGGGAAAGCCTAGTTTCTCAAAACGAAGACACACATGCACACACACACACACACACACTGGCTGAAAAACACTGTGTGCTGAGGACAAACATGTTCATGTGTTCCCCAGATGTGCCATGAGTGTGCCAATATGCCCACAATGATAGTACCTATGTTCACTCTTTTACAGTAGGTGTGTACCAACTCTGGAGAATTTACAAGCTTTACACAAACAACGTTCATGAAAGTCATTGCATAAATCAAAAAATATAGGAAAACATAAAAACTGTAAGCTGAAGAAAACACTTTTAAGTCATAGATAGATAGATAGATAGATAGATAGATAGATAGATAGATAGATAGATAGATAGATAGATAGATAGATAGATAGATAGATAGATAGATANGATAGATAGATAGATAGATAGATAGATAGATAGATAGATAGATAGATAGATAGATAGATAGATAGATAGATAGATAGATAGATAGATAGATAGATAGAGTAGAAGGGAGGAAGAGGGTCAGAGCTGCAGTGGTCAACACCTCAGCTGTTGCACATGACTTCACGGTTAATTTCTTGGCTGAACCCCGGCAGCTTCTTCTGCCAGCCGGCCCGAACGCCACCCCTGAGGCTATGGTTACACTCACTGACATCCGCAGTGGGGGTCCCGAAACCCACCAAGCTTCCTGGCTGATGAGAGTCCAGCTGTCATCCCTCTAATGATGTCAAAGCAACGTTGGAATGACGTTGGAGTAACCATATCAAATGAGCGAAATGATGCAATGTCCCAGTTGTGGGGCACGGCTATCACAAGTGTATCAGTCATGCAGGGCGCACACAGAAAACACACACATGGTTCCTGTGCAGCCTGAGCCACGGACGACCGTCGTCGGTGGTTTGAACTCCGGCTGTTCCAAAGTTTCCTTGAGAAAAACACTGAACCTCAAGTTGCTTCTGATGGCAGATGGCACCTTGCATGATGATGTGCGTGAATGAGAAACACATTGTAAAGCTCTTTGTAGAATCTCACAAAGGTGAAAAGGCGCTATTTAAGTGCGGAACATTTACCATTTTGCATCCTGTGAGAAAACTGTTTTGCAGCGGTGTTAATTTGGTGAAGCCAGCCAAAACCCTTCGGGGGCACTTGTTTGACACTTTTTTTAAAATTGCAAAATTTATGCTTTGCTTTATGTAAAATGGAGGCACACGCTCTGTCACACACATACGTTTATGCACAGTGCCGACTTACTGGAAGGCGAAGAGCAGGCTGGGGTGGAAACTAGTGGAGGCCCCCAACCCTTCATGTTGTAGGCTGACACTTGGACATAGTAGTAGGTTCCCTGGAACGACAGGAGACATGCATTTATGGCACAATTTGGTTGCTATGATCAAAAGGAAAGCATATCTGTTGATGCACACATGCACAAAACCTTACATGTGTCTAGTTGAATGTATATGTGTGTGTGTGGAAAGTGTAGCGTCTATCTAGCAGCTCTGTCTGTCTCTGTGCTTAGTGTGCAGACAGCAAGCCTCTGTCTCTCCTTTCTCAGCCAGATCAATCAAACCAGCCGCCAACACTTACTGGCCTCGCCTTGACCCCTGTCTTGTGACAGGAGTGAGCTTTGGCTGGTAGCAGGGGTCTTAAAAGGGGGAAGGGGTTTCTCTCACATAATAACAAACAACCAGTGGAGTGTCCATTTGTCTACATGCCCGCTTAAAAATGCCAAACATAAATCAGGTGGCAGGCTACCAAGCTGCTCTTTTTATCATTTTGGACGCTGTCTTGCAACTGTTGCTTATGAATGGTCAGGAGCCAAGACTTTCAACAAATAACAAATAAACTGTGTTTTCCAATTGTGTTTCAAGCAGGGCCATGACTCTTTCACAGCACATTTGGGATTGATGGTGACCACAACTTGTATGCAGAGTTTGATGTATGTAATAAAGAAGAGTCACTTGGGAAATGCCTTCAAATGTCGCCCAAGCAAATGCTTTAAGCTTGTGTATAAATAATATCAGGGGGCCTTCATGTGGGAGAATAGCTTCTAAATTTTTTATCGGTCAGCACCAACAGCTGGAGAAGCTGCAGCTTAGTGGCTTTTTTGTGTTGCTTTGTCATCCATAAACTACCATATAAAGCACGGTTGCATCTATTTTATCTGGTAGTGGGAAGGAAATACGACTGCTTAACCAGGTTCATGTGAAAATGGTTTGTTGTGCAGCAGCGTAGGGGAGAATTAATGTGCATGGATGCAAGTTCTCTACATAAATCCCTCAAAATAAGTCAAATTTATTGTCAGAGGAGCAACTCTTGGTGTCATCTCCTGAAATTATCACATGGAGCTTTATATGTGAAACTAACAATCCTGTCCAGAATCTGAAACAAAAGATTCTTAGTGATTCATTCAGGTTGATGAATCAAACTAAAATACTGATACAACAGTTCAGACTTTCAATTATGTGGTGGAGACAGATGTTCTGGCAGAACTTACAGAAGTGAGTCCAGTGATGTTGCACTGCAGCAGAGTGGTGTCATCCACGATCATCTCACCCAGCAAAGGACTCAATGAAGGAGCAGTGCTCCAGCTCACTTCAAGTGCACACAAACATTTTTTAAGTAATTAGAAAAAGATGGAACTGAACAATTCAGGAATTCCTGTGATTCAGAAAAAACAAAACACAAGCTGTTCTACATTTTTTAATCACAAAGTGTTGCAAACTCTAGGCATGGCAATAAATATAAGAACTCTACATATTGTAATACTGAGTGGTTTGTTCTAAATGAGGCTGGGTGTGACGGCTGACCTTTGTACTTGGTAACCACAGCAGAGTTGACACAGAGAGGTTCCTGGAAGTCAACTTTTAGACTGGTGCTGCTGCTGACAGACAGGCGAACAACACTGGGAGCATCTGGAGCGTCTGAGTAGGCAGAGAAACAGAAAGATGACCAAGTAAATAAGCAGAGAGGCAGACAGTCAAAGACAAGCAGACGAAGATCCTGCACAGCACGTTATAACCATTATAGTGGAGCCAGAACATACAATCGTCAGCTTACTGTAGTGGCATCATTTAGTCTTTCTGGTCCGTGAAAACTCCCAAGTTTAGTGGAAAAAGTTTAAATAGCAGTCAAATATTGGATGCTGTTGAAATGGAAGCCATTTACAGACAGTAATGACAACAATGCCACATCTGCAATCTACCATCTTCACAAGCTGATGTCAACTTAATGCGAATATAACTACATAAACACAATTTTGACATGTGGTTTATAATTTCCATCCGTGTTCACACAACTTGTCCCTCAAATTACATGTGGAATTACAAAGAAGGGGGAAAATTTTTTCTACATCAAAATGCAGATTGGTTCGGCTAGAAGGGAGGAGTGTCTGCTTTCCGGGGGGGGCTGTCTACCCTGTCTACCCTGCCACTAAGCGTGTCATGAAATGCCTATAAAAATTAAAGCAGCAATACAGGCGTGTTATGTTTGCACACACACACACACACACACAGTCGTATGCGAGACTTCCCGGTGTGGAAGCCATTAACTCAGCCCAGACAGAGTAAAAGCAGAGAAAAAGGGTGCAAAAAATTAAAGCCAAAAATGACTGCAGGAACAATCTGAGCGGCAAACTTTTATCTGGTGTTCAGCACGTGACAAAAACCTTAGGAAAAACAATGATCCTGAAGCCTTACTAGCATGCTCAAAGCCTGTCTGCATGCGTCGGAAGAGCCGGAGCCTCCACTCCCAGGCCTTTAGCTGCCTCTCCCGGTCGGATCCCTCCCGCTCACCGGGACCCTCGCTCCGCACCTGGGCCTGAAGCTCCGACACCCGCTGCTCAGCCTCCTGCACCAAGGTGGCCAAATGCACCGCTCGGCCCTCCAGACTCACGACTGAGAACGACATGGGAGACACAGCGAGAGAGGGAGCAAAGTCAATGCATGCATTCAGTACTGAGGGTAGAAGAGTTTCATTCCCCGTAGGCACATGCTAATGTGACACCATTATTTCAAAACTACTTTGCCATCCAGAGAAATGCTTTTGGACAAGCAGATGGTGAACACAACTCAAAGCAGAGCAATGCAGGGTTATAAATTTGAGTGATTTGGTTTTCCAACCAAAACTCAAATGTAAAACACTGTGAATATGAAACAGTGGATTTCTCCTGCACACACACGTTATTTCTTTGACAATTAAATACGTGCATGTGCAAATTATTCCACTTTTATCGAGCGCTTCAACAATACACGTAGTGATATTGCAAGAAACCCCATTGCCTGCAATGTTGCAAATTGCTTTTGCAGGCCACTCTTTTTAATGTCTTTGTTTGCCAAAATACTGTGGCAGATTCCTCAATAAACTTCATTTAATGTAACTAAGCAGTCTCTCTTTGGGGATGACATCACCTAGAAAATGACACAGAAAATGGGGCAATGAAAGTGAGAGGGGTGAGAGAGGGAGGAGTATTCTTCATATGCGGTTATAAGGGAACACAAAATGGTGGGAACATGCATAGGCATCATTTTAAACTGCCATTGTAAAAAGTATTTTTCTGCGAAACGTGTGGAAAATTTTGTATAACTCATCTATTTATATAATATACCACAGCCTCCTACGGCCATCAGAAGAATGTTTTTTTCTCAAAGGGGGCAGGGTGTTACTAAGACACAATGATGTTTAAAATACTATAGTATATGAGATGTAACACCCCGTGAAAATATTCAAACCGTGGCCTGAGCAGTCAGCGATAGTGACTCGTGGTGGCGTGACACGGAGACCAAACGGGTTCGATCGCTCCAATTCCAAATGCATAAAGATCGCGCTAAATAAAAGCACAGAAGAGTTAATGTAAAGCCGTTAAGGTCACAAAGGACAGTAGCGTACTGTACTCCTTCTTTGGTGGCTGGTCATTTCTTGGAGTGTTTGGGATTGGTGTGTGTCTGTGTTTAGTCTGTGTGGTCTGTGTTTGTTCATTGTAGATTCCACTGTTGAGCGTTAGATTCCACTGTTGACAGTAAGTTTAAAGCTCCGTGTCAAAATGTCCATCTGGGTGTTTAATTCTGCGGCTCTCTCTGTGTCTCCTCAGTGGCTGCGAGCTCCTCTTTGAATCGGAGTGTCTCTTCTGGGTGTCAGTTTTGTTGTTCTCTTCAGCCACTTGTGTGAAGACTTAAAGGCAGTTTGTCACTTTTAAAAGGGGTAATGTAAAGGGGTCGGGGCTGAGCTGTAAAGGTTAGAGTTTAGCTTTGAATCATTACCAAGGATCCCCAGATGGAAGGAAATAATTCAAATAAAAAATAATAATAATGTTGGTTCATTTTGATTTACTTTTCTAGAACTTGAGCAAGTCCAGATGCTGTCACCAGTGTGTATGTGTGTCTTGATTTGTCCTTACTTCACATTAAAGCTGGGATCCTCGCATTAAAGCGGCTTTGTCTTATTGACGGCCACCGAGGGATTTACAACGCGAATATAAAGTTGCTTTCGAGAATTTGTTTGATTGTCTCCATCTACCCCTGCCTCTCTGGTAACCACACACTGTGAAGTCAAGCATGGCAATATCAATAAGCACCAGAATCAATTTCAAAGTTCAAGGAAAAGTCGGCAGCGTCTGTGATTTCAATTTCTCCTCCGACCGAGTTTGATTAGTGCGCGCTTTCCTCATGTGCTATTGTTTCTTTCTCTGTTTTTAAGTCTTTTGTACTCGTACACACACGCACTCACAACTCACACTGTCTCATGAGTTATTTGGGTTCTGGAGAGAGAGAGCGCAATCAAAGAGCAAACTTCAGTAAACACTACTTTCCATTCAAGTGTTTTCAATTTAATGATACCTTTATAAGACGTCTGGCTCAGCTCTTGAAAATGTGTGTGTGTGTGTGTGTGTAGAAGTACAAACACAAACAGCCGAGGAGCCTTACTGGCGAGTTCTAATCATTAACAGAGGAAGGCAGCGAAGGCTCCCCAGATCACAGACAATGAAAAGGGCTTACGAAGATGACTAATATTGCATCATTATTACCACCCTTTCATCGCCTTTAATACGTTTTCACTGCCAGCAGAAAACAGAAGGAGATGTGCGAGTTTGTCAATACAGTGCATTACTGATGTGAATAATAGGCGATTATCTTATGAGCTATGTGTGTGCCGTTGCTTTGGGCAACACCTGCAGGTGCTTGATGTTGTCAGTTCCCAGAGAGCAGCTTCTGATGACCAAAGAGACCCTTTCTGGGATTATTTCTGGGCTGTGCAACGGACTGAAATCAACAAAGGAAACAACTGATTAGAGAGCTGTCTGGGAGCGACTGATGTGGTTTTGGGACTCGCTTGCATCATTAGCGTGTTTGGTGTACAAGGTGTGATTGGCAGAAAACAACTATCTTTTATCATGAATCACACAAGACCTGACTGGCTGAAAGATCAGGCAAACCAACTTAATTCTAACTGTAAGCCAAGGTAGCATTTGCTCACCTACAGCAAAGCTTTATTAACAAAACTAAAGACTTAAAGCTGGAGATGGCAGGATATTTTTTTTTACATGATTAGCAAAAAAGTCTGCAATAAGCTTTCAGCATAGTGCAATTAAAATGATCTGAGAGGAAACTGGACTTCTGCACCTCCTCTTGGCTCTGTATATAGACTTCTATCTATATCTTCTAAAATCTTGGTAATGACAGGAGACATCAGCCAATCACAGGAGTTTTCACCCTGTTCAGGTGAGATAAAGAGCAAAAACAACAACGACAGAGCGAGCCCTTCTCCCATTGGTCACCACAGCCGTTCATTTCCCCATTGGTCAGTTTTGATAACACGCCTGCTGTCAGTCACTCAGCAGCGGCCAATCAGGTTACAGTACCTGTGGAACGTTCTGGAATTACGAAAAAGAAAAGAAAAAGGAACAACAAAAAAAAAGAATGATGATGAACAGGGAGGTCGGCCAATTGAGCCTCAGAAAAACAAACTGAAGGTGGGAGGAGCTTCCAAGCCTCTTATGGAACTTATTATTCTGGAATTTCTTTTTTATTTTTTCTTGTTTTTGTTTTCATTTGTTGTTTTTGTCCATTTTGTCCGAGTGTAAGCAAAAGAAGGGTTTCAATCATGAGGGAAGCAAACTATCAAAGTGACTTGTTTGAATATTTGAGCGACTTACAGCAGAGAGCGTAGAGCTGTAGGAGGAGGGCGGTATTATCAGATTGTGGCATTTTTACTTGAATTTTCCAGATTTCTTTCTGCTGCAGCTTCACCAGTAGAGTTATAAATGAGAGAACCAATACCTATATCAGTAGAGAGACATTGCAGTGACACAAAATCTGATTTTAGCAATTTTCGGGGGAAAAAATAACAAATTGACAAAATTAATCATCATGGCTATCTTTGCACAGCTCTCTGGGTGCAATAATTGGTCTGATAGTAGAGTTTTAAAACTCTGTGTAACTCCCTTTAAACCTCTCAAGGCAAAAATCTGCCAGCAGGTTTGAAAGACATGTTACCTTCAAAAAATCCTGGTTGGAGACCTTAACCTACTCATCTGTGATGTGTGGTTTGACTGGAAATTTTTTTTTTTTAAAGTAATTTTTCTGGCCGTTTTGCCTTTGTTTGAGAGTGCAGTCGAGAGAGAGAGACAGGAAAGTGGGGGAGAAGATGGGCAAAGGACCTGCAGAAAAGGGCCGTGAGCGGTATTCGACTCATGACCTCCTCATTGGGGACTACAGCCCCGTACATGGGACGCCAGCTCAACCAGGTGAGCTATAGCAGCGTCTAACTGGAGAACTTAACCAAATCTATGCTTAAAATCATGATATTTTATCAAAATTATGTTATCCTACATGTCTCTTTTGCATTATTAAGATTCTGTAAAACAAAAAATTCAGTCCTCCTCAGCACAACTGTGAAACTATTGGTGACTCAGCTAAAACCAACAATCACGTGGCAGAAATTCAGGGACTTTTCAGCTGAACTGCAGGCTATGTTTTCACAGAGCAGACAGGAGAAAAGTATGAAAACACATTTAAAATGTAAGTAAGAAAATCTTTTCACCATGCAGAGCCAAAACTTTTCTATTGGTAACACCTGTAGGCACTTGGAAAAACATTGGACATGTTGATTCCAGGTTTTTTCAATTTTTGGAAAAAAATAATCAAAGAAATTCATTTTTTTCTGATTTATTATATTATAGCTTTGTTGTTGCGCACAAAGGGCATTTTTAAGTTCTCTCTGCTTCTAGCCATGTTTGTGCTGTTTCCATAGAGGTGCAGAACTAAATCACCAGCAGGTAACAGCAGGTAGAGTTGGTTGTGTTTTTCTACTCACAGTGGGGGCTCTCCTTGGCACCGGCTCTCAACAGAAGCTTGGCCATGGGTACGTTATTGGTCATGATGGCGATATCGAGAGGCAGGAGGCCTTCGCTGTTTGGAGTGTTGAGATCCAGCTCCTCCAGACTGTACTGGGACAGAAGCAGCTGCACCAAGTCCAACTCTTGGTGCTCCACTGCCTCAAACAAAGCTTCATTGCTCTGGAACTGTGACACAAAGACAGTTCACATGGAGTTAAAACTAAATAAGACTTTGAGACATTTCAGTTTTCATCACATATTAAGCAATTGAAGTTTCTGTCTTACTTTGCAATAGTTCGATAGATGCATGTGTTGTTATTACCTGAGATTCCAGCACCAGCGGAGTCTATGTGTTTTCCTTGACTATTTTTAGACTACAATGTTCCTGGGCTTATTATTTTTTCCCTTCTCTTTCTCTCTCTGACTTACTATGGTGGTTTTGCGTAGCCTCTCCTTGTCTCCTCCCCGTCCTGACACCACACTGTCCTCCAGAGCAGGAGGGTTGGTGCCCACACGGAACTTTCCAGACAAATTGCGGTATAGGCGGCGAGCTGCACTTGGCGAGGACAGACTGGCTGACTTGCGAGCTGAGGCCGGCTGGTGGGCCTGGTCCCCTCTCATGGGCTGCGTCATCTTACCAGAGTCAGCCCTGGAGGAGAGACGGGTAGGTAAGGGACACGAGTGATGAGAGAAAAGAGTGGAATATGACGTCTGCTACAATACAATACAGCAGAAAGGGGGGGAAAGAAAAGATGGTGCACACAACCTGTGATCAGCTCCAAAGTGCATTATGAGAGTTTACATGAAGAACAGTGAAAGAGGAAGAATTTTTGAGTGCAAGACAGTCTTTAAAAAAGTCACGCCTCTTCTCCTTCTTGTCATTTCATGTCAACAAAACATACTTGCCGACATAAATTGAGTAACTAATCATACATTTGTGCATCGGTGTAGATTTTATGTATTGGTACAAACACATCACTTCGTTCTGGTGAATTTCTGTGCATCAATGTGTTCCTTTTCTGCAACAGTTTATGTGGGAAATGTCTTTATTCATGTAAAGACAACCAAAAAAAATCAGGCTCCAGGTGACGATTCAAAATATAAAGGAATATATCGCA